TATCTATCTATCTATCTATCTATCTATCTATCTATCTATCTATCTATCTATCTATCTATCTATCTATCTATCTATCTATCTGTCTATCAAGCATCCACAATGTTTTGAGACAGAAGAAAAGCTGTCGCTAAATGGAATTTAATGTACAAACTGCATTTGATGGCATGAAATGAGTTGGTGAAGTATCTAGTCTAGTCTGCAGATAGCAGTGTATTCCAAGGGGAACCTGTCACTTCCAGCAGCAGACACATTTAAGGTTTGTTTGTTGCACAGACTTTAAAGCTGCCCTATCATAGTACCCTCTAAAGTGGAGCCACATCTCTTTTATCCATCACACAAACATGGCACACGTTGTCTGTGTTCGCTTCCATCTCTGTCTGGCCTACATTGGGTCCTCTCACTACTACTGTGTTTACTTTACACGTATGAATGTAAACACACAGTAACCGATGCTGTGAATCAGTCACGGCACCGGGTTACTTTTGAAACCCGGTTCCCATTTCGTTCCCATAACTTTTGAAAAAGTAACCCGGAGCTAGTTTCTGATATTTTATATTTATGATCATCTCAGGAGTTTTTGAAGAACTTCTCCTTCAAAGCTTGTCATCAGGTACTTTCTGGACCATGACAATTGGCTAAATTCCCAACAACAAGCTCTGGTAGGGATCAAGGGATAGTCTGTCCAGGCCTCTCTCTGCTCTCTTACTTTCCTTTCTCACTCTCCTTCTCTGGTGTTCACTTTGCCTCAGATTGACCTTCAGTAGTCCCGGGGGAGGTTATGTTCAGGTCGATACCGAGGACTTCTCCTGGTCTGTCCAGCAGACAACATGGATGAGTGGAGCCAGACAATCTACCCGCAGATATAGATCTCTCGCATTACGACTGCCCATAATAGGCATGACACTGCGTCTCTAGCAGACAAACATTCGCTGAAGCTGCATGGAGAAGGGCTTCCAGGAAGTACACAGACCCAATCATATTGACACCAGCTAGCCCAAGCTTCATTTTAATCATGAGATGCTGGTGTGAGTGCCAGCAGCAGATCACCTTTGGGTAAGATACATCAGGTCATGAGAAAGCGTAGTGTTTAGTACTGTTTAGTAACCTACTGAGCCACAGAGCAGAAACAGTAATGTTGTATAATACAGTATGTGTGTGGGAATATTTACTGTCGTAAGATGAAGGTAGTCCATGTGCTCTCCAGCCAGACACATAACAATGTAACCTAATTGCTGTGTCCCCTGCTGAGTTAATGGGATTGACCGTCGCTATCTAAACTCACTTTTAATCCAGATGAGGGGAAATAGCAGGCTGAACACCTATTGATAGACGTTTTCTTTACTTATAGTAGAGCTGTAACAGACAGGAGTTCGTGTGTGTGAGTGTGTGTGTGTGTGTGCATGTGTGCTTTTATTTTCCTGCGTTTCCACATGTTGCGTGTTGTGACTTGTCTTTCCCGTTGTCCCTGTTGACGATTCATTCTTAATTGCATTGACCTTTTGTGTATTCTTCATTTCAGTCCCATAACATTTTTAGAAAAGGCCTCTTTTTTTCAAGGTCACCACACTGAGAATCAGATGTTTATATTGTCTGAATGGGAAACAACTTTCTGCTCCTGCTTGAGATAGCGATAAATAAGCTGCAGTCTTCTCACACTCCTTCATATCTTACTGTGGTTTGTTGGAAGATTTGATCTTCTCTAACCAAACCAATTCCACATTGTTGAGCATTTTCTCCCGTTGGGTGCCACTAAATCATTGCAGAAGAAGAAGAGGGGCTATGGAGAGGAAGTCATTTAAAACAGTGCCAGTCAACCCTCAGATGGTGAAAAACAGCTGTGACACTATATCAGCCCCAAATATTGGTCTGTTCAGTAGAAGCTTGAGTAAAGTTTAAGTCACTAACTAAGTTGTACTTGTTTCAGTTGCACTTTGTTGCATCTTTTTAAGCTCAGTCGAGAGTAAACATTTTGTTTGTGACGATTCGGCATTACCTCTGAAGTTTTTAATGTGCGTTCATTGTAAACAAAATAATTAAGTTTTTCCGCTTGCATCACTTGTAACTCCAGTAACTTGTGATAAGTCACTCTGAGCTGCCCCGGTGTTGTACTGGATGTTGTGGACAAGCTTTCGAATCAGCCTCGTGGGCAGAAAGCATTCACACCCCCCCCCTCCTCTGTTTGGAAGAACACCAAACCCCCTCACACACCCCGCGGATGCCAGCCATACCAGGCATTTCCAGTTTATCACACCTCACTTTTTATGGTGCAGAACAGAGTCGCCTCCCTGTAACTTCTGATTAATGCACCAAAGACTCATTAATTCAAAGTTTTAGAGGGCTGAAAAACACACACACACACTCCGTCGTCCCCGTTTTCTCCTGTTTAGTTCGTCTCTTTCTACTTGCATTCAGACACACTCGACCACCCTGCTGCTTTGGCTGCTGCTATCTGGGATAATTGGTCTGAGATCACAGCGTCGGTCAGGCCAAACTCTCTTTGATGCCCGTATCCTCCATATGGTACTCAACACACTCGGATAAGGAGTCAATACAGCGAGGGGCTCGTTTATAAAGGTGCTGGTTTAGCTGCAGAGTCAAGGTCTTCTGTCATTCTTCAGGTCCAACATCATCTTCTCTGCTGTGTGTCGGAGAAGAGGGGAGACTCCCAGCTTGTTTAACAATGATGTCATCACAGTAGTGATTTATTGGATGAGGACTGGGGGGGGGACTGTTGCATTCGTCAATCTGGAGTCTCCCAGGGGAGGTCTTTTTAAAAGTGAGCACAGCTGGTACCCCTAACAGCATATCACTGGGAGTGGGACAGGAAGTGAGGTCATGATCTCTCTCTCGCTGTGAACACACACACACACGCACACCAATTCTTTCTGTCAGACCTCTTTTTGTTCTCTAGTCATCCAACTGTGCAAATGTAATAAGGGAGAGGAATGAAGTGAAGGGTCAGAAAAGCGGCCACAGGGCAGATCTTCACACCGGACCTCTCGGGGTAATGATGCGTATGGTTTGAAATTGACGCGTTGCTCTGCCGAACCTCCTAAAAGGTATGATTTGGTGCAGCGCTCTGTTTTTAGGTGGAGCCGGCTGCACTCGGGCTGAACTCTCACCAGATTTGTCATAGTTCCTCGCTGACCACAGGATCTCTGAGTGGAGGGAGGGGCATCCGTCTAGCCAGGGGTATGTATAGTGTTAGTGTATGTGTGTGTGTGTGTGTGTGTGTGTGTGTGTGTGTGTGTGTG